GAAAGAGTGGCAATGTGCTGCTGCTTTGCATGAAATGCGATGTCTGATAAAACTTCGTATTCTGTTGTAGATTGGATGAGGTTACCATGGGAGAAAGCACATGGAAGCAACTTGCATTGTGAATTTTCAGGAAAAGCTCTAGAAGAAGTTGCTGCTAGTTTGCTTTCGTTTGCCAGACTTCCTTTAATACGAGTCCTGTCATGAAATCTTACCAGTAATTAAGATACTTTTCATTGCAGAAATCAGAGAACAGATTGTTCACACTTATATTTTTGAGGTGTTTTTCCTTAGAATGGCAAAATTTATTTTATTTTAATTCTGTGTTTAAGGTTGTACATCTCCAGATAATGGTGGCTGCAGTCAAATATGTTCTTCTTTAAGCCCATCCTCCTGGGAGTGTGCTTGTTTTCCTGGATATAAGCTGCAGCAGGACAGGAAGCACTGCACTGCTATAGGTGAGTATCTTGATATCTATCCACACATTGCTGCCAATAAATAAGCAAAATAGTTTTGACTTTTTTAAGTGTATAGCATAACTGGACTTTTTTGCAGTGGTTTTAGGATAATGTTGTGCAACTGGGACGTAGTAGCTGTAAATACATCAGAACCACTGCTATGTGTCTCCTTCACAGAAGATTCAGTCTGTTACCTAACTTACGCATTTCATTTTGGGATCCTTTGCTCCACTCATCTATCAGCAATATTCAGGTCATTGTGTCTTCATATAAATATGGGTGTAGTTTCTATGTAATGCTTCAGAACTAAGGTTGAGATTGTCTATATCGGAGAACAGAACAGGAAATAGTCTGTTGAAGGACAATACCTGTTAGGATATTCCTTCCCCTACTGATGCCAGAGCCCAGATATTTGCCTGTTTGGATTTTAGACCATCTGTTTCTTTTGAGGAAAGGGCAGACTTCAGTGTGAGCAGCAAGGTATATGGGGATGGGCATGAGAGAGGAAATGAAACAAGTTTACGAGATTGTTTTAGGCATAAAGGAAAACCTTTATTCATTCTAAGATAGTGTTTTTTCATGTTTTTACTGTGAAAGGTTTCCTATGGGCGATGTGAAAGTCACTGCATGTGAAATGCAGCTGGGCTAGTTATTGTCTGTATCATGGATTTTCACAATGGTCTTGAGGCAAGGCATTGATCCCTAAAACATGTATGCACATTTATCTTTGGCTTCAGATGCAAGATGGATTTAGGAGAAAGGCCTGAATTTCTGCATTAGTATTTTAAACTTTTTTTAAATTTGAAAACTCTTAGCTCAGTAGTAAGAGAGCAAAAAATTTCTCCTGGTGAACGGTTTCTTGATTGCCAAAAAATCTTTAGAGATATATGAAATTACCTCACATCTCCTTGAGAACTAAATCTAGAATCCAAAAGTGAAAGGCTGATGCATTAAAATAAAATACTACTAAACTTTTTTTTTTCCTTATCTGTTATGTCTTTAAAACATTTGTCTAGTGTTGGAGATTGGGAAATGGCTTTCAGTTTAGATTTCATATTCTCTTGTTAGCTCTTCCTTTGATTTACTTTTTATTTCTTTCTTACATGAAAGACATCTTGGTTTGTGTGTGTGTCTGTGGATTCACACTTTCAGTCCTTGCTGAGAACTTCCACTTTTCACTTGGGGTTTGCCTGAGATAATGACTATAGGCATGTGAGAATGAAATAATTTGACTCGAAAAATGTATATAATAGAAATAAATATGCCTAAAAGAAACCAAAAAAAGAGAAGCTTTTAGAATTTTCCTTTTGCATTAACTAAATATTGCTGATTATATTGAATCAGTGAAAAGAACAGAGAGAACCAAAGAACATACGCAGTAGCTGTCATTCTCACACTGAACAGCTTAAATAGTGATGCAATATACAGGTAGTTTTGAACCTAATATAATTACATGCAAATTTTCATTAACAGGACCTAAGCCATTTTTGTTATTTGCAAGTGGCCAAGACATCCGCCGAATCAGTTTTGATGGAACAGATTATGCAACTTTACTTGACTGGCAGATGGGAATAGTCTTAGCACTGGACTCTGACCCGGTTGAAAATAAGGTAAGGCATTAAAAATGAGAGGATTTTGAAGTGTTGCAAGGACACATGGATTTGGCTTCCATGTGTCTTAACCCTTCAATTGCGGGTGATCCAGATTACACGTTGTGCTGCTGCTGGTTCTGTTGCCTGTCCAGGAAAACACAGCTGATATAGCACTAGTTGAAGAGTTTCATCCTTTGCTTACTGATTTAATGTGCTTCATGTGTTGTCATGGTTAACTCAAAGAAAAAGTGGATTTCTAAGTTCATTTTAGGCCTGAATAAATTTTCAAAGAACTTTTGTGTGTGTGATTACATTCTCCCTTGAGATTTCAATACCATTTTCTGAAAACTTTTTTTTTTTTTTAACTGGACACCTGTAAAGACAGCAACGCCTGTTTTTTTTTTTTTTTTTTTTTCCCCTGTATATCCCACAACTCATACTAAATGTTGGAGCAAATCTTAAGAAAAATTACATCCTTATGTCTTGACATTACTGAATAAAATTACCCAACTCTCAGTGGATTTATTGTTCTTACGAAATGCGTTTTTCATATTTACAAGACAATCCTTTTTGGAAATAGGATTCTTCCCTGCAAAAAGATCTATTTGTATGTGCAGCTTCATCCCAGTGCCCTAAACTTTGCTTGAAGGGAAGGAGCTCAGCTACAGCTGTACTTTGCTAAACCTTTTGTGGCGGATAGTTTTTGTTACTTTTTTTTTTTCCTCAGAATAAGAATTAGTCTGTAAAAGTCACACAAAAAGGTACCAAATCTGATGAGGAACTCTCTTAACTAGAAATGTGTCAAAGTCTGTATGGACACGGCTAAACAAGTCAAAATGTTTACAGGAGGATCGCTTTGGGCACTGCTGGCACATTGCCACTTCTTGAAATAGACCTTGTTTTGGACCTAGCAGTTGTTCTGTGCTGCAGCACAGCTAAATCAATTGCTTTGGTCACACTAGATGTACTTTTGTTGCCCTTCTTTAGGGAGCCCAGTGTTACAGTGAGCTCTGAAGTGCAGTGGAGATGAGCTAATGAACAGCAGTCTAGTTGTGGCAGGCTAAGCCTGGTGGTACAGAATTGTGACATGTGGCAAATTAACCCAACAGCTCTGTGCTCCCACGGTCGGACAACTTTTGGTGCTTGAATTAGCAGGCTTGAAAGTGGAGACCTCCCGCCTGCTTTGTTTGGCCTCATGAATAGTGTCGAAACAAAGTTATGTATATTTTAACATTTGCACGTAAAGCTGTATTGTTTTGTATGTAGTTCTGTCGCACAGTGGTTGGTTCCCTCTAGATACCAAATAAATGTTTTTTTGTTTGCTTATTTTTTGCCTTTTTTTTTTTTTTTTTTTGCTTTCTTTCCCCTTATCCTCAGGAAGCACTAAGTTAATTCTCCACCAGTGGAGAATGTTTATTTTGACCCCCCCAAACCTGAAAAGCTTCTCCTGGAAATGTCGGAGCTTTATAGGATCAATACCTGCTAAAAAATTTAGATATATGTAGGATGAAAGAAGAAGAACAGAAGCAAATTATGTAACTAGTCTTCTATCCCTCTCACAGCTCCTTGACACACGTACACTACTACATCCTCCCTCACTGGCCCTTTTAAAATGAGCAGCCAGTTAAATGATAACGTGCTTCCTTTTGCCTGCTTCTACTTTTGTTTCATCAGCTGTGCTTCATGTGAGGTAGTTGGTCACTGAAATAAAATCATAGGATATTCAGGGGATTGTATATAGGGCAACTAGGATTTACAGCTAAGCACAAGCAGCATGCAGAAGTCATCCTTGTTGAAGGATAAGGCACTTGCCTTTTTACTTGATCGGGGATCACAAGTTTTCACTCTTCTGTGACTAAGTGATTCAGGAAACTTTCAAAATGAAAAAGTTATTTCAGATTGGAACTATTAGACCAGGAAATTAGACCGTAAAGTGAAACGGGAAATATTTGCATCACATCTGTTATTTCTTCACAGGTTTACTTTGCCCACACTGCCTTGAAATGGATAGAACGAGCTAATCTGGATGGCTCAAATCGTGAAAAAGTTATTCATGAAGCTATAGATATACCTGAAGGGCTTGCCGTGGACTGGATTAATCGTAAATTGTATTGGACAGACAGAGGGTACGTGCTCTACAGAGTATTTGTGTCAAAGCATGCCATAAAATATTTGGAATAAATGACCAGTGATATGCGAATAGCTGAAATATTACACTAAATTAGTAATGCTTCACATTCTGATTAGATAGCTCTGGTCTCAAGTATAAACAGTTTAAGTATCTTTAAAAGTGAAATGCTGAAGTTCACTTTGAGTCTGCTATTGTATTTTTATCTTTGTCTTCCCAAGAAGCAAGGGTTTGGACTCAGTTACAAGGAATCTAAGGCATGGGCTGCATTTACATGTGTGTATATATATGTGGACATGCTTGTGGGTGTGTATATATATATGTGTGTGTATGCTCATATTTATACACATACACTGCCTGCATGTTTGTATATATATCTAAATCTATATATATTGTTACTATTATTACACTAAGTAGATCTTAGACAGAAGTCAGCATTTTGGATAACTGGAACCATACATACTTCCTTAAGCTAATAGACAATCTTTGTCAATTATCTCTAATGAGAGAGGAAGAAGCACTGGCAGACAGTGTGACCTCATGTTTCAGTGGTACTTACCCTTACATACAGAGAGAAACTGTTAGTAAAAAGGCAGTGTCCAGAACAGAACGCACAGCGATGAGTTCCTGAAGGGTAGGAATAATGCTTCAGTATAACCCATATTTTATTGGTCAATAGAAAGCAATTTTTGAATATCCAGTTAAACCTCCTTATCTGGTAGGTACACTAATAGTCCACTTCCTTAGCAGTAAATACAGTCTTGCCTACAAGGTCACTCCTGAATAAATATGTCAGTGTTTGTTCTTCTTGTGCAATAGCAAATTGTGCTGGTCCTCTCCACAACACAAAAGTCAAGGATGGAGCTGTGAATCTGTATCTGCCACATCCTTCTCACCCACTGGGTTTACCTGCTTGTATTCCATGTATTTGTAACTATTTCTGTCCTTGTATTGCATTTCTTGCAGATTGAGGTAGATATGAAAGGCCGCATGTTTTCAGGTAGAGACTGATATTTGCTTGGGTAAATAAAGTTTGTAAAAGCAAGAGTTTGCAGTTTTATGGAAACAAAGTGGATTGGGGGACAGGCAAAGTAGGGTCTGTACTTGTCTGCCATAGATTTTTATGATTGTTCACAAGGACCTTTGTTTCATTCTTTGTTCTAAAGCAGTCATCAAGTATAAATTGTTTGGAGATTTCTCAACGAAAAGGTCTATTTAGAAACATTCTTTACACATTTGATTATGGCATTCAGTTAGGAGCTTGTTTTCTTCCTGACTCCCTTTAAAGTTAACATTCATCTGTAAGTGATTATACTTTCAATTCTCGATTTGCCCAAAAAAGGAGATCTTAAGATCCCCTGCACAGCAGCATGTTTTTTATCGCCATGCCCTTGGGCAGCTAATGAGACTGTAGCATCAATTACTTGTAGATAATACACCTAGATAGCTGTGTCTGCATGTGTCTAGGTGACAGGGGTATCAGGCCCAACAAAAACACCAGCAGATTTATTCCTGTGTTTGTGGAGTTCTTGGTTAGAGTTTTGTGTTAAATCAATGGAGGAACTTAGTATATTCTGCTAAAGAAGATAATTGCAAAGGTAACAGGGCCATGTGTGTTGCAGGAAGGCGTGCATCGAAAGGAGCAATTTGGATGGAATGCAAAGAAAAATGATCATCTGGGAGGATGTTTCCCAGCCCCGAGGGATTGTCATTCACCCGTTTGCTAAGTAAGAAGTGATAAATACAGCTAACTGTAAAGTAATAGGGGAATTTAAAAAAAAAAAAAAAAAAAGAGCATGTTAGCCTTCCTTGCCCTTCTGGCAGACAAAAAAGGCATTGACCTCATGTTAGAATAGTTGTTGCTGAGCAGAGTTATGTAAACTGCAGCGTCTTATGGCTGTGTTGCTATAAAGAGTCAGGGAAGGTTGCAGGGCATATTCATTTCCTCATATAGATCTAAAAACTTACTAGAAGCATTAAGAATGTCGTATACATTTTAAATGAAAAAAGCACAAGCAACTAAAGTCACCCTGACAGCTGTAAGCACTATACCACCGAGCAGAAAGATCACTTTCATGGTTCTATATATACTGATGTGAAGAAGGTACAGTCAGTTCTAACCAGCAATGCTTACAAAGTATTTTTTGATCCTGTTTCAGTCTTTGAGGAAATGCTGATTTAAACATGTCTTGGATCATCGTATCTAGTGCTTAGACGATCATAGAAATTTTGAACATTTAGAACTACCAATGAAATTCTGATCATTGTAATCAATGGCAAAGCCCCAAAGATAATCCACATGTCTCTAGTGGGATGGTTGTGAAGGGATGAAGAACTCTTCTGTTATCTTGATGCTTCCATACTGCTGTATTGGTGAACTAAACAAATTGGGGAGAACTAAATTGGGGAGGGTGTCTTTTTTAGCTTCACTCTGGGCATAAAAGGGTTGAAAGTATCTTTCGGTAGAGGTGGAACATGAGAGAGTTGTTTTACAGGAAGACCTGTAATCAGGGAGATAGTTTATTTGAATGATCTATAGAGAAGATAGCTGGTATATTTTAAATGAAAGACTGTTAGGGGAGAAGAAAATGTGACTAAAACTTACCTTATTAGGCAACAGATATTACAGCTGTGTCTGTTAAAGTCAGTACTAAAGAGGAATCTGAGGCACATGCCAAACTATTGAGAATACTGGTCCTGCACTGATTGCAGGAAAACTGCTCATATAAATAAAGCTAAATGAGTCTGTGAGTTATCTCAGTAAACCTGGTAAAGGCAGCTAATGCCCAGAAAGATTAGAATCCCAATGTCAAAAGTAATTTGTGGTTCTGGCTATCTCTGTTTTGAGTTGCTGTCTTGCACTCTTTGCTTTTTTTGAAAAACTCTAAGCAGTCAGTGAACAGCAGTCAGGGCTTTAAAGTGAGAACCCCCAAAATCATGATTCTGGTTCCACTTGTGCATTGTCAGGCCTCTGTTCAGCTGGCCAGTGCCCCAAGGCTTCGGTTGTCTTGCTTTGCTACACTGCTGTCATCCCTTAGGCGGAAATTGCAAAAAGCAGATATGAACACTTGACAAGTAGCACAAGATGTGGGACTTGTTATTCAAAGGATTTTTGCCAATAGCAAACATAGCAAAGATTCTGTGCATGTCTCAGTGTCATGATCTGGAATTGTACAACAAGGTTTAAAGATCAGCAGCTAATATATATTTGCTTGATGCGTGTGTACTGCGTTATTCTGATCTGAACTTTCTGCTTTAAAAGGACTCCAAAGACTGGCAGACAAATATTTACTTGATGATTTCCTCTTTTTGTTTTTTTTTTTTGTCCTAAAGGAGGTTATTCTGGACTGACATGGGCATCAATCCCCGAATTGACAGCTCCTCGCTAGAAGGTGTTGACCGTCAGGTTATAGCCAGCACTGGTCTGGTGTGGCCTAGTGGAATAGCTCTTGACTACTTAGCTGACAAGTTATACTGGTGTGATGCTAAGCAGTCGGTTGTTGAGAGCGCAAATCTGGATGGTTCTGACCGTCGAATTCTTGCACAGAATGATGTAGGTGAGGCTTTGGGGTTGATCGTTACCTACTGCTCCTTGACGTATGTACATATATGACTGCATTTGAATTACGAGCCATTGGCTATGTGTGCATCCCATGCGACTGTTGGAACTGTTGGGATCACATAGACCTTGATTCTGTTACCCCGATTGAAACTTTATTCATTTATTTTAGCAAAACACCTTTTGATACTCTCTGCTTTTACTAATCATTCAATTTGCCTTGTACAGAGAGCTTCTCTGTGTCTATTTTAAATTGAAAACAGTTTAAAAATTAAAAACGTGTTTCGCTTGTTCCATGCATGGTTGTTTAATTCAGAATATTTTTGCATTTATTGTGCCAGTGAAGTTATATTGACGCAAGTTGGAAGAGAAACAATCTTGGCTGTTAAGGTCTGTGAGCAAAGAACCTGTAGCCACGCCATGTTGAACACTGGAAAGATTCTAAATACGTAATAGATACCGAATGGAAAAATGATGAATGCAAGATGCTGGTAGCTGTTGTTGCTGAGACTTCTATTGCTTGACACATAGTTAGATTGTTCTGGAATAAGAGAACAAAAGTGTTAGCAATGAGGAACTGATGCTGTAGCACATTTAAAATAAACTGTATTTCAGAATCTCATAAGTGGCAAATTAGTTAGTGGAGAAGACAAGGCTTTTTGTTCATGATACCTCTCTGGGCACCAGATTCATCTTGGAGGTGTGCAGGCAAAACATGGGCAGAATGAGGACTCTTGGCTTGGATGAATACCAAAACTGCCACTTACCTGTTAAGCTGCTGCTGTTCTGCCACACCAGATGACCTCCCACTTGCCTCCATGCTGAGACCTTGGAGAAAGAAGTGCTCTTCAGTCTGTAAGATACCAAAAGTGCAGAGTAGAGTAGCTGGCACCATTCCTTTTTGTCCCTCCCGCAGGATGTCCTGCTGTGCACTTCATCTTGCAACTGATCTGCAAAGGAAGACCTTAAAGTCTCTTGGAAATTTTGGTTTGCTTCTCCACAAGACCATGTACATTGTCCATGTATGACAATGTCTTAGGAGGAAAAAAAAGAGAAGGCGAGCTAGGAGAAATGGAGAGTAGCAGAAAGAAGGGGAAGGTGTAGGATGGTGATGTGGATGACTGAAGATATGGGAAGAGCAAATAAAGTTATGGAAAGAAGAGAAGGAGATGCAGACCAGTAGGGATGTGAATTTAGAGAGGCAGGGAGCATGAAATCCCAGTGTTTTGCTGATACCTTTATTGAGACAAGAGTTCTATTTTACCCTGGAGAGAGAGAAGGTTTCATCTGTTATAGGCTACTGTAACCTGAATTTGTATTACACTGGCTCCCTCCAGTGGGCTGGTACTGAGAACTCATTCTGCACAGCTGCATGCAACATGGGTAAGGTTTCTGTCCTGTGCTTCTGTTAATCCCATTTTTAGCTGCAAATAAAACAGCTTGTAAATCCCTGCCCAAGGCAATAGTAATGCAGGGAAGGGAGGCTTGCCTCAAAAGCTGTTTCAGGAGAGGGTGCTATCCCGAGGTAGAAGCATCGTGTGGGCCTGATCTGGCTGGAGGTCACCCGCTGCCGACGGATTGCAACGTGCTGGACATGTCACAGACTCCTCTGCTAAGAGCACTGTTAGCAGGTGCCTGTGGCCTGTTGTCCATGGACACGCACCCATCCTCAAGACACCCAAGTGCAGGAGTGGCTGTGTCTATGCCATTGTGATAGAAGGATGCATATGCACAGATACTGATTTGGTATATATGGTTTGTCGCACCTCTTCTAAAGACTTCTTTTTGTTTCTTTGTAGGCCGTCCCTTTCATGTAGCAGTTTTTGAGGATCACCTTTGGTTTTCTGACTGGGCCAAGCCGTCGCTAATGAGAGTGGATAAGAAGACAGGCCAAAACAGGGTACGTCTTCGAGGCAGCATGCTGAGACCCTCATCAATGGTTGTAGTTCATCCTCTGGCAAAACCAGGTATACTGCAAAAATTAAGCAGTTATTCCATTCCAGCCTCCTCTTGGTGTTCACTAGCGATAAAAAAATAGATGTCCTGGGAGAGATTTCCATCTTCTCTGAAAAGGCTCTTTAAAGGGCTTGTGTAGTTGGGCTGGTGTTCGTGGAAAGCTCTGGGAGTCTGTTACTCCGTTGTTGTGTTTGTGCTCTGTTGCATTGTGTTACAAGGTATTCTCTGCTCAGAGGGTCTGAGTAGGAGTGCTAATGGATCTTGCATATTGTGCTTATGCCCAAGAATAGATGCTGGTCAATTACCACAAGACTATCACAGTCTTATAATTATTATCTAAACAAATTTATTGCTGTCACCCCCTCATGCACAAATGGTAACAAATGACATGAAGAAAGATTTTGTAAGATTTATTAATTTTGGACCATTATTAATTTTTGGAATTTCGATTTTGCCGTTGGGAGGATCTTCTTGGGAGCAGGAAAAAAGAAAAAAAACTCAGGGAACTCAATAGACTGTGACTGAGATAAGCCAGTCACAGGTTTGCTATCCTTTATCATGTTCCCTAAGGAAAAGTTATGACTGCAAATATTACAGGAGAGATAAGAAAAGAAATAAAAACCAAGTGACACATTAATGTGATAGAGAGTATGCAGATCTGCTTTCCTGCCAGAGGCGAGGCTGTTGTGAGCAGAATGGATATTCGTGCCCTGCACAGATAAGAGGAGATGTTGATTGAAGAAGCTACAAACTCGCAGCTTATTAATTTGCCCCTGTTACCTTTCTACATTAGGGACAAATCCTTGCCTCCATGAGAATGGAGGCTGTGATCAGATCTGTGAAAACAGTTTTGGAGTTGCTAGTTGTTTGTGCCGTCGAGGATTTGGAAAAGCTCAAGATGGAAAAACCTGTCATGCACTGAATGCTTCTAACAAAATAGCAGGTATGATCTTTTAGTCCAAAAAAGGACACCAAAAACCCTTAAGGATTCTGACAAATAACTCTGGAAAATATTTACCTTCCTCTACATAATTTATGTTAGTTTCCCAGAAGAAAAAATAATATGTATTTTCTTCTTTGTGGGCATTTTCTTATTTTTTCACATTGTTTCTTACCTTTTCTATCTTCCCCAAGAAGACTAAACAATTCAACTCTGTAATTTACATGTGTGTGGATAGTGATACTTCCATATCTTTAGGGGTGTTGTCATTAGGGCGATTTCTGTCTCTTACAAGAAACATCGCAAGCTCCACCAGTAAAATATTAGGCTAATTGACATGATATGGCAGATAGTAACTTAGGTTCTCTGTATTACAGATTATAGGAAGAACAACAGAGCTTTTTAAAAATGCTAAAACCTATGTGAGAGTGGAAGGTAGTTTACTGTTCCTCTTGAGGTGGATCAGAATGAAACCTTCTTTTCATCTCCTTTTGTTTTTTTATTTCTGTGTTCTGGCAACACTCCCCTAGCCTCACATGCTGTTCATCTCCTTCTCCTACATAAACAGCTGAGACATTGGTTCTCTCCTGAACATGCTAGGGCCTTCTGGAGGACTAATGCTTTGAACAGGTTTTCATGAATTTTTTAACATTCACAAGAAGCAAGTAGAACAAATCTCCCATGAGAAAAACTGGAGTATTGATCTGACCATTGCCATTTACCCTTGGCATATCAGCCATGCTGACAAATGCTGACAAATACTATGGCAACAAGTTTATATTTGAGAAAATCTACCAGTGAGTGGTTTTTGGTAGGACAGAAACAGGCCAATCTGGGAAGAAACTGATTTTGTTTTAGAAAGAATGCATTGTGATTAGGAAGGAACCAGAAAGTAGAGGTAACCGTTTAAGCAATGCATGTTGTCTTTTCCTTGTCATTTCCAGGCAATGTCTTTGTGCATAAGGAGGCAGTGCCAGTGCCAACACTTAAGACCTCACTCCAGAGCACACAACATAGTGGAATATTCAAGGATGCCGAAAGTGGGGAAAAGCAACAAATCAATATTTTGTTGATGGCTGAAATCATGATATCAGGTAGAGCCTGATGTTTTAGTGCCTTAATGTGAGGTTCTGAACTGGTTTATAAAAAAGAAATAAATCACAGGTTTTAGAAGAAAAAAAGGCTCAATGTGAAGTCATGATCTATGTGAAATCTCATATAACAAGCTGGACCTATGTAACCATGTCAGATAGAGCTGATCTTTTGTTTGTTTATCTCCATGTTCCTTTGTTGTACTGACACTGATAATATTATCTAGGCCTAAAGAACAAATATTTGTGACCTGAAACAACTTGTGTAAAGTCCCTCTCTCCCTTAGACTTGGCAAGTATGTTATGTAGTGAATTCTACACCCTTTCAATGATACTAGATCAAAAATTGCTCTATAGGTTTTTCTTACAGTATTCAGAAATCCCAATATTACTCAGTGCTTGACCATCTAGACAAAGATGGCTGCCCTAGTAAATAGGTTGGCTTATCACCACTGTGGATATGCTTTGAACTTTCACCCTATATTCTGTTGGTATTTTAGTTCTTTTTTTTTTAATATGCTACCACCTTTGATCCATTCAAATGCATTTAGTGTTTTTTTGGTTTTGTTTCTGTTTATGCTGTAGATCAAGATGACTGCTCTGCTCTAGAATGTGATGTCAATGCAGAGTGTGTTTTGCTGGAAGATGGAGCCGTGTGCCAATGTTTGAAAGGGTTTACCAGGAGGGGCAAATTCTGCTATGGTAATAAAAAAGCATTAATACAGCCTTCTGGAAAACTGTAGAATTATGAGCAGGAAGAAAATATGTCTTTTCTCATATTGGCAGCTGTGCTGCATGAGCTATCACAGAAAGGTCAATGAGATTGCTTATTTTGAAAAGGATGATGAACAGAGAGCATATGAGATGAAATTGCTAATTATCACATGCATTATTTTCCCCTGAGTCATGAATGTTAATCCTATTAATATTAATAAGCAATAAAGGGAATAATAGGAATACAAGAATAACATATTTATTTGTAAAAAAAACTTGTCTAATTATACATGCTCAGGTCTGACCTGATAGCTGATGTATTATTTAGAATTATGTACTGAGGAATCTCTTAAAAGTTAATATTACTAATGTAATGTTAATATACAAAGGGTGTTCTTGTTTCTTTCTGGCACTAGAAAGTGACTCTTAACAATCAGACAACACATTGCTCAGAGTGGTCTTTAAAATCAGGTTTTGACCTTGCATAAAATGTCAATGGAAGCACTTTATTCTCTTGCAAAAGCCAAAGCAGGAAGGCATTAGAAACAAAATAAATACCCTTTGGCAAAGCATGAAGACTCGCAGGAGTCTCTACAGCTTTTTCACTAGCTTGTGTGCTCTTTCTCTCAACACCGTGTTTCTCTGACTAAGGTTTAAGATGATTAGGATGTAAGGCAAGTTTTGAATAGGATCATATCCTCTGAAATGGGCATTTCTTTTGAAGCAAGTGATATTTGTGCAACATGAAGGCTTCTGACTGAAAGTATCCCGTATCTGACTTTCTTAATGTTTTCAGAACATTCTAGTCAAATTTTAGGCCTGTAATAACGACATCAAGCTCTTCAGAAGCACAAATGACAAGTAACAGTATAGTTTGAAAGAAATCCATGACATGGATATTTCTTTTTATTGGTTTACCTAATGTCCTCATGACCAGTGTGTCCCTTCTCCATATGATGTCGATGCAGATGTCGATGAATGTGCTGTAAATATGGACCGCTGTAATCGAAATGTGTCAGGCTGTATCAATACTGAAGGGGGCTACGTCTGCAAGTGTCTGGAGGGATACACTGGAGATGGACTCCATTGCCACGGTAAGGGAATGTGTGCAGGTTGTGGTGTGCTTGAGAGGCAGTGGCAGAACGGATGAGAGACATGTCCAATGATTTGGGCTAGCTCTGCAGCAAGCTGCCAAGTCGTCAAGTGTCCCTAATAAGGACACTTTTCCTCTTTTTGAAAAATATGATAAGGGTATACATGCTAACATTGGACTGTGGGTCTCCCCCTAGACAGTTGGCATTTATCATTTTCTCCTTTCTTGCTTTTCCCTTCCTATTTGAAGTGTGGCAACCGCAGCAGCCGATCAATATGCAAAGCTTCTGATTGTCAATGGGTGTTTCTTCTCATTGTTTGCACTCTTTCTGGTAGCTATAGCAGAAGCGACAGGAAAAAGTGAAGGGGAGGAGGGAAATGGCGGTGAACAAGTACAGGTTTATTGGAAATCATTGCCATGAATCTAAATGAAAGTTGGTATTGAATGTGTCATACTCATCAAATAATTCCAGGTTAGTTTAATAGGCATAGTTCAGGATGTTGACACTTGTAGTTTGAGTACTTTCAGAGTCATGTTAATAATCAGACTCACTGATTCTCTCTTTCAGCTCTAATGCCAGGTCTTTATTAGGTCTTGATTATGTCTTTTATATTTTTTTAATCCCTTTTAGCAGTAAATATGAAGGAACAAGAAGCTTTCTATTTCCCCCCATATGCAAGCAGCACACAGGTTGTTCAAAGCTTTGCAAGTGTCCTGGCTGCTTCACGCTTGCCTTTTTTTTTCTTTTTTTCTTTTTTTCTTTTTTTTTTTCTTTTTATCTTTTATAATCTAATTCAAAACCCATTACGTTTGACCCATTTCTTACATAGTGCTTACTGGAACTTGGTTCTTCAACACGGAGAAGGAAAACTAAATCATGAAGAGTGATATTATTAATATGGGCAAGGTGTGGAAAGTATCAGAGACAGAGGGTTGAGGAAGGCATTCTGCTTGTATAGGTCAGATATGCAGAGCTCACATCTTTGGAGGTGTGCTGCATCTGATGCATATGTCCTTGGCCAGCTCTGGCCTCTCGTGATCTGTGATTAGGTGCTCACGTAGATTGGTCTGGCACCTGACAGCACTCTGAAAAAGCAATCCGTTCTCTGCCTCCAGTTGGTAAGGCCAGGATTTGGTCAGATACGTTTTCACAGTGGTTTATAAATGATAAGATCTTGTCATGAGCTAAACAAAACTGAAACTATGAAGTAGATGAGTTGAAATGTGCTATAAAGAGCCAGAAAAACGTATGTAACGGATTCTGTATTTTGGTTTTAGATGCCTGCATACATTTAACAGTATCCAGAAACCTGCCAGTTTATCTAGAAATAGTGCAAGAGGAATCCATGTGGTTTTGTTGAAATCACATTTCTTGGAATATGTTGCAATAGTTTTGTTCTTTTTGGTTTTAAAATGCCTTAGAATTTTCTCCATTGTTTTGGGCCAGATCCTGTTAATATTACTGTAGAAAAAAATCCCAGCGATTTAAGCAAGACTTTCAAACAAAATGAGGTGGTACGTTTGTGTTTTTGTATCCCCAGAGTAAATCTGGTGCACATATTCTGCCGACAGCTCATAAAATAAATCCCAACCCAAACTGTGGTGCATAAACCGTTTTGAAATTCCCAACTCTTACTTTGCTGGGAGTGCCCAGGCAAGCCACAGTACAAGTGCCAACCCAGAGTGGGTGAATGCTTGCCCGGCTGGAGCTGCCTCTGTGGGCTGTGCAGAAGGTGTGGAGGCAGGGTGAGGGCAATCAGTGTGATGTGAGACACAGGTGAGGATTGCTTCGTTTAAGTGTGTGCACAAACTAGATAAACGTGTAGATTTCTGAACCCTTTTGTTCTACATGGACTTTTTGTCTAGGCTGGACCAGGTGGGTCTATCTTTGGCTATCTCAGTGCAAGAATGCCAGCCCATGTACTGGTGTGAGAGTTGGGACGGGAAATGTCAAGAGAAAATATCTAGTGCATGCAAATCTTGTCTTCAATTCTTCTGTACCCCTTATGTTTTGTGAGAAAGCTTTTCCTTCCTCTTTTTCTGGTGGAGCACTTCAGCAGTGTAGCATGTGCTGAGAGCCTGGGGAGGGTGCAATTACTTGACTTAAAAAGCATGCTGGTTGCTTTCCACTTTCTAGCAAGGGAAGCCTGCAGATGGATTCTCTGTTATGTTTGTCCCACTGTTCAGAGACCATAATGCTGCTACTGCCACCCCTTTTAGCTGATGCTCTGAGGCATTTCATTCTTCTAACTGCAGATTGTTTGGATGACAGATATTGATGAATGCAAGATGGGGTCCCACGTCTGTGAAGAGAACAAAGCCTGCATAAATACAGAAGGAGGCTACACTTGCTCTTGCACTGGTGATGTTTCTGGAACTGGCATCAGCTGTGGTGGGTAAATGGAGTGAGCAATTAAAACAGAGACACCCTTAACTAGGAACTATGCTCTCAGTTTCCTATATAGTAAAATTAAGGAAAAGGCTGAGTGGTGAGATACTGGAAAGCTTGTGAATCGATTTAGCACTGCTTTAGGAGGCTGTTTTGCAGAAGCTGTTTCGCGATGAATTAAGGACACTAAATCTGAGTTTTATTTGGAACTGTCTATGTCAGGTTCAACTCTAATTTATACTGTGTGAATTTAATGATGTGCTTCTCTAATGCTCTTTGTAAACCAGAACAGAAGTGCTTCTCAGAGAACAGCCCATTTTTTGAGTTGATTTTAGGCTGTTCAAAAGCTCAATTCCTTTTTCCCCTCTGCAGAGGATAGTACAAAGCCTGTGCGTAATTTAAGTCCTATTTCATATTTCAGAATAAGATGGCTTTTCAGATGCAGAAAACTGCCTAAGTGATTAATTTTTCAGAGGAGCTCTGAAACTCTCCACAAAATCTGGTTACCAGTTTATCAAAGGGGGCTGGTGCAGCTTTCAGCACTGGTGAATATCTACCACCATTTCAGTGCCTCAGTACAACAACCACGTTCTCTGAAAATGGGTAGCTGAGGGCCTCATATGTTTCTGCATCAGCCCTTCTCACAGAGATGAATTTTATCCTGTATCAGTTGACTATCCAATGGCAGAAGGATACTGTGTGATTGCCACAAATCTGTTCCTGCAGAAAATAGAATGGAACTATGGTTTTATAACTATGGTTTTATATATATACATACATACATATATATAGCCTTGCCCAAATTCCCTGCTCCCCCGACCACCACTTTTCAGCTATTTAAGTTTTCAGTAGTTTCAAGTGTCACCATAGAAATGATGATTTTAAGTGACACATGAGTTATAAGCCATCTTCTGCTAAAATCACTTTTTCCTTTCCATCTAGGTATTTTGTCTTGACATGTGCCTGCAAATGAAATGTTAAAAATCCAATGTCTTTGAAGGTGAAGTTGCAGTAAAAATGGTGTGAGACAGAACAGATGACATAAGTGTGTGAGAGCACTTGGGTGTACCTCTGTAAAGCCTTAATGCTATAAACTCTTTGCCTTGTTGGGTTCTGACCTATGGATACTTGACTGCATGAAAGTAGGCAAGAAAGTTCTCCTTTTCTTTGAGAATATGGCTGTACTACAGGTCATGCTGTGCAGAGGTAGAAGAGCTGCCTTATCTACTTGACAAACTACGAAACGTTTTTAAGAAATGGGGTCCAAAAAGTTCTGTGCTTCCCTAATTATGCTGCTCTCTGTACCTGGGCTAGCTTGTTTAAAGCCAACTCAAAAATAAGACCTGCAGTCATCCACAGATACAGTCAACAGGATCGCTGCAGAGTAGAAATAATCTGTATAAGCACAATAAGCTTCCTGTGAAAGCTTTTTCAGGCCCAGATTCAAGTGCATGAAATGCAATCGTCCTTCACCTCACATCTGGCTCTGGTACTGTATTCATGATGGAGATTTATCATAGCATAAAGCTGCCTAAGTTGCAGAAATCCTTTTAAAATAGCTACTAGGCAGCCAATGGAGTTTTAATTAAAAGATCTGTACTCTAGCATCTAAATAAAACACAGCCAACCTCTATGGGTGTTTTATTGCGTATCTAGAATGTTATGTGCACTGCCAGTCATGAGCTGTTGTTTCAAGATCTAAGCATAATAGATAGGAACAAAGTACTAGATATCAGATACACAAACCAACAGTCCTCCTCCATAAGAATCAAACCAATTTACTATTTTGATCTAAGGGTGCAAGTGCCTAAATTAAATATGGTTTTGGTAAGTGACCATAGCAAAATAAGTAAATAAGCAAATAGCAGTTCATTGGCTGAAATTAGAGACTCTTTCTTATATTTCTGACTTGAAGTTCTCAAACGCTTTTATATGATTATACTGCCAGTGAAGCCAAAATTATGAAATATACTTGTGAAATTCTGTGTTTCAGAATCTACTGCATCTCCTACTACTGTCAACAATGAAGACTCTACGTACTCTGTGCAAGGTGACTTTGTAGGTTGCCCGGCTTCATATGACTCATACTGCCTTCATGGTGGAGTGTGCAATTACGTTCCTGATCTACAAGATTATGCCTGCAAGTGAGTATAAAATTTTATATTGTCCGTGCTGATGAATGGTCTCTCCTTTATACATCCTGCAGACTTGCACCTCTCTGTTGGCCTTGCTGTTCATTTACGGTGTTCATGTGTTCTGGCATGTGTTGAGATGGAAGAGAACACCTCTGTCCTGCCCTCTTTCATTGGGGTTGGTTTTTTTTTTTTTTGATCCATGATAGGTCTATACTAAGAATCAAACAAAACACACATATGCTTCAGTATTGGAAGTGGAAGCCTTTTAACAACTTGAAGACCAGCCAGGTTTAGTTATGTTCTGTGTGGGACATGCATGACATCCTCATACTGGCTAGGCGAGCAGACAGTAAGGAGGATTGAACCCTGGCTGAATGGCAGAGCTCAGAGGGTCATGATCAGCGGCACAGACTCTAGTTAGAGACCCGCAGCTAGCAGTGTCCCAAAAGGGTCAGTGCTGGGTCCACTATTGCTCAATTTATCCTATAATGAGTGCTTGACCAGGTGGCTTGGACCCCAGATTTCCCTTCCAATCTCAACCAGTCTGTGATTCTGCATTGAACGATCTGATTTTTCACATTGTACACTAGATGGCAGCGTTCATACATGCAGGCTGAAACACAGCGTGACAAAAACACCACGACAAAGTCGCAGGAAAATGTTATTTAGGAAAAAAAATAAAACACATATACTTCATTGTGATATTGCATCAAAAACATAAGCGTTTTTCAGCTTTTCTGCCTTTATATGTTGCAGTTTGTGGCAGAACAAGACCTTGTGCCTGGTTTGATACGGAATGCTGATATATCATTTTCAAGTCATCAGGCAAAAGCTACTTAGGTCAAATACTGCTTTCTTTGCTCTTTTGACTAGTTTTGAGTAAAACTAGCCCTATAATATTGTGGGATGGATTTGAACGTACATAACTGAGATTTTTAAGAACTGAAAGTATTTCCATCACTTCTTTATGTTTACCTTTTGTGTGTGTCTAAACTTGGAGAGTAAAATGGATTGTGATTCTTTGTGATGTATTTGTTGCTTTCTAGTCATTGTAATTTATAGGTTTCATGTCCTAGTAAGGCATTTCTCTGGGTATTGTTTTTCTGAGTTTCACAATGGTAAAAGCAAACCAACTAAAAACCTATGGAAGATGCTTGTAATAAAACTGATTTGTGAAGATATTTATAATCATATGAGGTTTTTTAGCATCTTCTTCTCTTTCTTCTTTTATTTTGAAGTAAGTATTCACAATAAAATTTGGTTCCCTTGAGCAAATCACTAAGAAAAAGCTTGTAAGTCTCATACTGCCTAGTTTTAAAAAGGGAGCTTGCTGTTGGAAACTGCTAAATAGAAAACCGTAGGGAAACACTGCCAAAAAAAAAAAAAAAAAGCAGTAGAATTTAAGAAAATATTTTCTAGATTTCAAACACTGTTATCAGGAAATTATAATCCTACTGTATAATTGTATACAAAAATTCAATAGCTTTACATTTTATATATATATATACACATATGTATATGCGTGTGTGTATATATATATACACATATATATATATATAATGGAAACCTGTAGGTTTTGACAGTCATCCTTTCAATGTCTTTTTGTTTTCATCCCTGTAAATTGAACAATATGCTTCCATAGGATAGCTGATGATAAATCAATAGAAAAGGTGATTGAAGTAATGGATTTGTTCTCTTCCCTCACCCTCATCGGTTACAATGTGTGCTCACTTTCTTCTGGCAGCTGCGTGACAGGCTACGTAGGGGAGCGCTGTCAGTTCAGCGATTTGGAGTGGTGGGAGCAGCGGAACATAACCATTGCAGTCTGTGTAGCAGCTGTGCTCTCTCTGCTCCTGCTGGGATCCCTGACTGCCTACTGCTACAGGTAGTGCTTCCAAATACACGGTTCAAACACAAGACCCGGGGCAGAGGTGCTGCTGCATTTCACAGATGGCTAAGAGTGAAAAAAAAATGCAGCTTTTTAGCTGGTGGAAGTCACCATAACATCATTTTTGTGGATGTGATGGTGTTTTTGTTTGTTTGGTCTATTTGTTTTGCTTTTCAGCAATTGAATCTATAATTCGTAAAGTTCTGTCATGTTCCTGTCCACAGGACTCGCTTTGACATTAGTGAGAGTGACATGTGTCCAGGCAGAAGAAGAATAGGGGTGATCAGGTTTGAAGAGGAACCATAATTTACACTGATGAGACAGTTCAGGGATGTGCCTTTTATTTCTTCTTCAGCTTTCCTTAAGAGCTCTAGATGTCTGAAGCAGTTGTAGTAGGACTTAACCTACTCTAAACAGAACTTACCACTTCTGTTTTTTTATTCTGTGTGGAACTGCATCCGAATCTTCCTTTGTCATTGGAAAATACAATGTGTTACCCTTTCAAAAGCAGACTTGTGTGGTAGTACTGCAGCAATTAATGTGAAAGCAGCTTTCTTGGCAGTAGAAAGAGTAAGATTAGGGATGTTAAGTGGAGGGCACAGCTCCCTGGTATTTTCCGTGGCTATAATGGAAATTCTGCAGGTTTGGGATTCGCTTCATGGCAAAAAAAGATCCCAGTAGTCACTATTTAAGAACACAGTTCGATGTGAAATTAAATGTTGATGTCCCTTGCCCTGGAAAGTATTCAGCATTTAATAAGCTACAGTCTTTTGGAAATGACCTTGACAGGCAACTCTTCTCAGAGGCTCTTGTTTAAATGCATGTTTATCTTTAAAAGCAAACAAACAAAAAGCCAGGGAGCAAGCTAGTTGGCAGAGTCTCCTGCTTCATGCTTACCTGTCTTCCATATGTTTGTTTCTGGCATAGGTTAATTTTAAAACTAGAATCTGCTGCACACACACAAAAAAGAGTCACAAAAAAGGTTAGCTATGGAAGTTAGTATTTGCATTTTTATTTAATGATTCGTAGTATATTTAGTCAATACAAGTAGGTAGGCTGCCACATTTATTATTTTCTATTAACTGTTTGTAGAACTCTGGATTAAACTAAATGTAGGCTGGTATGTTCTCATGACCTACGACTGAGAAGCCAATCAGTGGAATGGCACATGAAGAATAGATAAATCTTGGGGTTCTTAGATTTGTCATATACGTCATGCAAACATTCATGAAAAATAGCAAAAACATTGTTGGGGTTAAGGTGTGAAGACACTCTTTACTTCCTCTCTCTCTTTTGACATTTCTTCTTGGTTTGCTTTTTTCTTAACAACTTATTTTGATCAATAGAACTATTTACCTCAAAACAAGTTTTCAATTACATGCTTGACTAAGTTTGTGCTGAAGCTACTGCTAGCCTAACTAGATCAAAATGAAGCCACTGATCTCAAATCCCTATTTAACTGAAGTCTGGAAACCAATATTTGGATTGAAGTTGCTATACTGCTTTTTCTCATAATTTGCTGTGTTTTGAAACGTGTTGATTAAGTGTCTAATAGTCCTGTTTTCCCCTGTAAGATTCAGGCTCATATCTCCTTTTAATTGGAGGAAACAAAGTAGATGATCTGCACTTGCCAATTTGAAAAATGTATGAAGTGGAGGCCAAGAATACCAAAGCACTGTGTGGTCCAGTGAGTTCAGCCTGTAGAGCAGAATTGTGATACTCATAGTTTTACGTTTACATAGTCTGAATGTTCTGTAGCACTCTCTGAACTGCCAGTCTTTCTTGGGAAGCAAAGAAGCATTCATTTATTTTCCATCGAAATAAAACTGAATTATGAATTTGACACAGCCCTTCAGAAATTGGCCATGGGCATGCAAAGCTCGGCAGCAGAGCAGCATTTAGGATTGAGGAATTCTTGCCGCCTTGCCTGTGCTCAGTCAGCTAGATTTCAGGGCATCTCTTGCTTGTGCTCAGAGTCATGCGTGAAGATTGCCAGGCCCGCCAAGTCCATCTGACGTGTGTTCTTGTGCATGCGTTAAAGCAAGCTGTGGAATTAAAGTGATCTTCTTGAGCAGAGCATCCCTTTGAGGACAGGGCCTGAGAGTGCTGTGCAATGAATTTTCAAACCATTGAGTCCCCTATTCAAGTTATACCATCAATGTGAGCTGCAGTACAGAACGAGCACATCCCTCTGAGGACTGAAGTGTCAACAGCAGTCTTGCCACAATGTTGGAAAAATAAGATTGGACTAGTTTACCATATTTACCATGCCCCCAGAACCAACACATAGTGCTAAGGGCCCTGTGTACCTCACTTCATATGAGCAGTCTCACTCTTATCCTCCACTGTGGACAGCTCTGTTTTCTTTGGGGTAGAGGAGGAGTAGATGAACACACAGCAGCATGTCACAAAGAATACAGGGGCAAAATCCGTAGTGGGGACAGGACTCTGTCATCTTTAGCAGAAATCACATCTGGCCTGTGTTGAATTTTCATGGTAATAATGGCATGGTGCACATTTTCAGTTATGTCAATGCAGTATTGAAATAAAGGGGAAATTATTATATTCTTTGATATGTGCCTATTAAATTTCATTCTAAATAGTCAAGAAAAAGAAAGGTAGAATAAGCTACCTTCATTATAGGTGACATCTAAGGGAATTAAAATTTTGTGTAATATTCAGTAAGGATGCACTGATTTGGGTCTCGAGTACTATAAATGACCTCTCATTATGAATGTGTTTTCTCTGTTGGTGCCTATATTGGCTTTTAATGTTACTTTATAAGTGGTCATTGTTTAACTGCAAAAATAACAATTTTTGAATTTTTGGAACTAGCCAGTTGGATCTGACTATTTATATCCTTTTTTTCACTTCCAATGTATAGGCACTTTTTTTTTTTTTTTTCCTTTTTTGCTTGGACTAATTCTGTTCGTCATTCTTTTCTTCAAAGAAATATCTTAGTTCCAGGAGTTTTGAGAACTTCAGTTTAATTATTTCATAGTATTCTCTGAAGCTGATGTTTTCATTAAATAATACAGATAAAGGCAGAAATTACTTTCATCACTGTAATTCATCAAGTATGTTCAAAAGTACATTCAGATTTTTCCCAGCTGCATCCACAAACATCATCCACTGTATGTGTTTAAACCTAAATCTTAATAAAAGGAATGTATTATAAATAGAATAACATAGTTTTAACTTCTCCTCTCTGCTTATGAGGTTTATTGCTTCTAATGTGCCATCTCTAAAGAGTCATTCATTAGAAAAATGTTTGTTGACTTCTTAATGAATTTTATTTCTAGTCAGTCTAATAATTACTTTAACCCCTGTGCCATAACTAACATAACGCACCCCTTCAAAATGAACAAAAGAAAACCAAAAGTTTATATCTTCTGTAAATAAATAGAGAATGAAGTGTGAAAAGAAGCAGCATCTGTTCCTCCCAAAGGGAAATAATTTGTTTCAGCTTTTGCTCTGTTGCAGAAATAGAAACTTTTATAAGAAGAATCTCTATGCAGAAGCGATAAGAGATGGCAGCAGCCGCGCTGACAGTGAGAACGTGACACCTACTTGCAACAAGCCTCGGGTAACTATATTAATTTGAAGTGGAGAGGGAAGTAGGAAGGATCAAAGAGCATTAGGGATCCACTTGAGATTATCCATGAAATAATTCACATCTTAAATATATTAAATAACTGCTAGAGTCATCAAGTGCTTTGCTGTGAACCCTAGTTCATCTTACCTCATTGTTATCCCTTCAAGTTCACGGCTGCCTGGATGTATTGCAACTATTAGCCAGTGTTATTGTTAGCTTTGAACACAACAGTTGGGGAACTGTGCTCTAAATTAAGGAAATGGCAATGTGATGACATGGCATATCACAGAGTTATTTTCACAGGAAAGTATGCCCTCCCTATAAAAGGCTTCTTGGAAGCCAAGTGCTTCATGTGCTACATGAGATGTTGAACTTTATCTGAGGGGTTGATGCAATTAAATGCCTTTGTATTAGAGGCTGCCTCGTGAAGAAAAAGAACTAGGATGTTATCTGGCAGTTTGGGAGGGTATATAAAATATTGATTTAGCACTGGTTGGCATAGCTAAAAGCACCATCATGGTCTAGTTACACTGGCCTGTTTCTATTGGGTTTTTATGTTATGAGAATTTGTCTCCATAAGATATATTCTAGAAATCTGATTTTCACCAAGTCGTTGCTAAGTCACAACAACTTGAAGTTGGCAAAAATGACATAATTGGTATATGTGGCTATTTCTACACCTAGTCTGAGCTTCCTATGTGGTGCAACACAGACCAAGATCTTGTATGCACAAATGCACATACATACCATACAGCTCTGAATAAGCTGTTGTGATATAGGCAGCATTACACTTGTGGGTAACATCACATTAGCTAAGTAGCATGTGCTCTTTAGAATAAGCACAATTATGTCAGTGTAAAAGACTGTTGAGGAAATTTATACACATAAAGCTTTGAAGATAAGCTGTAGTGATGCATGTATCTTTCTCCTCAGGTGACTATACAAATATTTTTCTAATATTAGTTTTACTTTAAGGAAATATAGATGTAGATACTGTAGCTGGAAAGGTATAAAAACTGTGTAGAGTGCTCATGTTTATAAGATAATTTGGCTGTATATATTTCCTTTTGTGAAGTGGATATATTAGCTTTCAATCTCTGTTTTACTCGTCACCCCCAAAGTTTGATATTTATGTTACTTCTCCAGGTCTTTGAGTCCAGAAAGAGACTTTGTATCTATTGGGGGGGGATGTTTGAGGGGTTGAATACCATGTAACATCTAAATTTAAAATGTGAGGATTTTTAATCATCCCAAAGGATGCCTTGCAAGTGTTTTAGATGGGCTGGTTTCGTAACCTTGAAGATTCTGGTAAAGGTGCTATTGTTGTACATATCATTAGGAATACTGAGGAAGTAGTGTGGGAAGGGCTGATGGTGTGTATGCAGTGACAAGGAGTTCATGAAATTTGCTCCTTTCTCAGCTTGCAGAACTACAGCTCTTCCATGAGGCTGAGGTAGGGGAGTCCAAAGACTCTTTCTTGCTCCTGTGCACCTTGGCTGACATAGAAGGCAAAGGGCTTTTACCTTATCACATACATCAAATCCTAGATATCATAATACTGGAACAACACCTGCAAAGTGGCCAAGTGTCATTCATCTTTCCCTTTTTTTCTGCCAAGTGAGGCAACATTTAGGCTAGCATTTTTTTCACATTTTTGTTAGATATCCGTAACTCAGGCTCAGTTTATCCCAGCAGTATGGAAGCCCTGGTAGGCTTGTTCATGTGCCTAGATTTTGATACTCTTCTGAGACTGATCATCCAGCCAGTGTTGCTCTGTTTTGTGCAATCAAAGACATTAAGCAGAACTGTGTGTAGCTGGATCTCCTCTGGACGGGAGCCATCACATGTGTGCTCACAGCTGCCAGCCTACAGATTTTATGCAAATGAACTCATGCCTAAATATTCACATCTGCTCACATCTGCTTAACCTATTCACAGATGTAATCACAGATACCAGTGCTCCTCCTAGATCACTGAATGGGTCAGTGCTTTCGTTTGAACATCTCTCTTGCAAACCACAAGATCAAGCACTTCGTTGATATCCCAGGACTACATACTTTCTGAAAAAAGAGCAGCACTGTCACCAGCTCTAATATTTAATTATCTCCAAGAGACAAGTCATCCCAAAATGATGATCTTTCCCCCAGACTTTGTCCCTTTTAGTCTACCTCTTGGATTTTAGAAAGCTGGTTCACTCTGTATTAATTTGGTCTCTCCGTATTTTGTGTGTATTGGATTTATTTTGTAGTTTGCAGTTGTCATGGAGTGTAACAGCTCTCTGGAGACTGATGTGGTTGACCCATCTGAGTTTCAAACTGCAGATATTCATCCTGTTTGTTCTTCGCAATATGGTGAGTTAAGATTTCCTTCAGTTTTGTGGAACAGTTTTGCTTGGATTATGCAAAAGCTGTAGGCATAGTTCATGTTTTGCACGAGTGTTAGACCAATACTAAAAAGGTGAGGTGGGAAGGGTGTCATTACAATTCAGATACATGACCAGGTTAGGGTGATGAATGTAAACCAGTCAGGGATGTAAAACATTTTCACCAGTGTGTTTCTCATTTTTTCTTTTTGAAAGACAGGAGCTCTTGCATACCTATAAAACGTATCCACCTCTTGGCAGTGGTTCTCAAGGAAGCTATGGGTGAGAGCCGCCAGGCAGTATGGCAGTCAGTGCTGCTGCGATAGCAATGAGTTGTGTTCCTGGAAAGGAAACCACTGGGCTTTTAGTGGGGCTCCTGGTAGTTTTGCACCAAGAAAACACAATATTCTGAACTCTAAAGTCTGCTCTTTTATTTCGTTAAATCTGTATTACTGTTCTGAATTTTTATGTGACAGAATTTCTATCCCTGTCACCTTGTATTTCTCAATTGAAGCAAATGACATTTTCCGTCACATTAGAGACTAGAAAGCTGCATGCAGTTTATTGCCTAATGTCCATTCACCTTTATTGGGCGTGTTATTCTTCCATATCTAAGAGTAGCCATTCCGAACGCAGAAGCTATCCAAGATGTTTTGCTGTGGTGCTATAATCTGAAGAAGAATCAGATGCCATGGTGAATCTGTATGCCCACAGTAACCTTATCAGACCTCTCAAATCCATCCTTACTGCATCGCTTCTCCCCTTTGTATGAGCAGGAGGAGTGGCTGGTAGAGGAAGACACAGAAACAAGAATTATGTTCTTGGCCTGTGCCCTGTACAGCAGAAGCAGTGTTTAAACTGCTGTAAAGAGACCATTCAGTCCTTGGTTGTGCAGATTACTCATCAGAAATTATGCTACAACAGTACTTTCGGACTCCTAAGGAAACAGAGGCCTTTTGTGATAGTAATAATGTCAAATTTTGACATCTATATAGACAATGTTTTATTTTTTTATATTATGTATATAGTATATATAATATATATATATAATTATTATATATATATTTATATAACTTTTTAAGGTATGCTTCATAGCAAGTGAGTTATGTCCATCATACTGACAGGGAATATACATCTTTGCAAAGATGTGCCTCGGCAGTCCTTAATGCAGGCAGGATGAGTGGCAGTCGTGGTGTGAGGAGTCCAAATCTCCCCAGAAATCTTTTGCAGTGTAACAGCAGCTGCAGGTATGCCTTAAGTGTTAGATGAGCTGACTGACTCCGTGGGGAATGTTTGATGCTTAGATGCAGGTGAGATGAGTAAAGAGGTTGTTCCCTGCCAGCCACCCCTGCTGCTAGAACAGCAGCGACCACTGGAGCGCACAAGAGGTTTCCAAGCCTGCAGGCTACCAGTTGGACCAGCCTGAATTTTAGAAAATGCTGTCTTATAGGTAGCAACTGAGTCTACCTATAAGGTGAGGTGGTCAGAACGGAGAGAGAAAGGCTGATATCCATAACAATTTTTCTTATTTACCATATTTACCTTCACACCACCAAAATTACCAGAGAACTCAAGGTTTGCAATAGTTATTTAGAAATTACAAGTATTTGAGAATTTTTGAGTAGTCAGGCATCCTGTAAGATTTTCAGAATTGCCTATCTTGTTTAGGCACCTTGGATAAGTCTTGGGAACACAATTTATTCAACAGTAGAAAACATGCCTCGGTTTACATGGTTTGGCTAATACAGACAATGTGTGTTGTCCAGTGAAGGATGCCTAATGTTTCCCATTAGAAGGCTCTGCATTTATAGATTTAGGAGCTATAGCAAATTGAACTGAAATTTTCCATCACAGGTGTTGGAATTTTTTTTTCCATATTTTAAAATTTTAGGAGAATCAGTTCAACCATTTTAGAGAACAAGACTGGTAAATAATATGATATTTTTACAAATATGTTAAAGAAAGGTCTCATACCATTATCAGTGAATAATTTTAAGGCTATGGATTAGGGGCTCTGATTTTGCCAGATAGGTGATTGTCTTGTCACAGACATTACTTTTCTTGTCCTTATATGTGAAAAATAAAAAAGCTAAATATTCTTACAAGTCATTTCTTAAAATCTGAAGCAAGTTCTCGAGTTTGCCTCTTTTTGTGTCCTTTGACATGAGTTGTTATAATTTTCGGTATCTATAGCTTCTCTTTCTCTCATAGCTTTTCTCTCTCAAAGCTACCATTAGCTTTCTTCATGCTTTGTTGTTGTGAAGATCCTCAGACGGCTAAAAATAATTATTTAGTGGATAAATATTAATAAATAGTTATGTTATAAATTAATAAACAACTATTAAATAAAAATAAATAGTAAACTAGTCATTATTAAATAAAAATATTGTTTATTTTCTTCAGTAGAAGAACAGCATGTAACATATGACACAGCAGAAGAGACTTTGGCAGAAGAGAAAAGACAACAAGGCTGCCGACAAGAGGTTTCTGGTGGTAAGAAATCACCTCAGCCCGGGGTGGCTGAGAAGAGCCCTCACGGGGATCCCTGGAGTGTCCGTTATAACCCTCTTCTGGAAAGGGAATCATGCGAACTTGCCCCTGCCAGTCTACTGATGCAGCCAGACTAGCAATAGTCTGGGTTGAGTTGAAAAAAGGCAGCATGAAATCAGCAGAAAATGGGAATTTGTGAAACACTGAAACAATCTATGTTTTTTTCTTTAAGCTGTGCATTAGA